CCCGCCAAGCAATATGAATGAACTCCTTGGGTGCCGCTTGAAGTGTGCTTCCCATTTGGCTCAGTTTAATAGATTTTTCCGGATTGGAAATTGAAAACCAAACTAACCCAGGCTGATGTGTTTGTGTGGTTATTTTGTGATTTGTCTAGCACGCTGCTCTCGCTGCCGAACAATGATTCTGAATATAACATTAAATGTTGATTGGCCAAAGCAGGAGCTATGACATATTAACCAAACCAAAATGTTATCCTCCAAATACAGATGCATAGTTGTCACTTGATTGAAATCAATTGATTTATCAGACATATACAACAAAATGTACAATGTGGACCACGAGGATATCACTGAAAATTATATTAAAACACTTGTAAACAAAGTGGTCCTCGATGGTAAAAATCTAACACATATAATGATTTAAAGGCAAGACAAAATTACAAACAACCATAAATACATTCATTTACGTCCTAGAAAATGGCACTACTCACTGCACTTTTCCCCAACCTTAAAAATCGACCATATTCATTTCACATTTCGACCTTAAAAAAACAATCATTCAAATAAATACACCTGACCAGCAGTAGGGGGCAGTGGAGTGGTGTCTCTTACTTAGACAACCTTGTCCAAATGAAAAAATGTGTCTGCTTTTTAAAGGTATTTCTCCAAGGGAAGACTATTCCATGGACAAATGCCTGTATAAAGAAAACGTGCTCCTTACAGAACTGTTTACTCTTGGGATTTTACAAGACATAACACTAGCTCTGGTATTGTAACTGGGCTGGTTATAGAACATATCAATGTGGTTTTCATATAACCTGGGGCACGATCATTTAAGATGTCAAACATATGATTACGTTTAAGTTGGTCCACTCTGGACTCCAAAGGCAACATGCCCACCTCCCGGAACTCCTGTACACCTTTGTGGGACCTAGGGGGGACATTCAGCATATACAGTTGAAGTCGGAAGTTTACACACACTTAGGTTGGAGTCATTAAAACTTGTTTTTCAACCACTCCACAAATTTCTTCTTAACAAACTATAGTTTTGGCAAGTCGGTTAGGACATCTACTTTGTGCATGACACAAGGAATTTTTCCAACAATTGTTTACAGACAGATTATTTCACTTATAATTCACTGTATCACAATTCCAGTGGGTCAGAAGTTTACATACGCTAAGTTGACTTTGCCTTTAAACAGCTTGGAAAATTCCAGAAAATGATGTCATGGCTATAGAAGCTTTGATTGGCTAATTGACATCATTTGAGTCAATTGGAGGTGTACCTGTGGATGTATTTCAAGGCCTACCTTCAAACTCAGTGCCTCTTTGCTTGACATCATGGGAAAATCCAAAGAAATCAGCCAAGACCTCAGAAAAAAGATTGTAGACCTCCACAAGTCTGGTTCATCCTTGGGAGCAATTTCCAAACGCCTGAAGGTACCACGTTCATCTGTACAAACAATAGTACGCAAGTATAAACACCATGGGACCGCGCAGCCGTCATACCGCTCAGGAAGGAGACGCGTTCTGTCTCCTAGAGATTAATGTACTTTGGTGCGAAAAGTGCAAATCAATCCCAGAACAACAGAAAATGACCTTGTGAAGATGCTGGAGGAAACAGGTACAAAAGTATCTATATCCACAGTAAAACAAGTCCTATATTGACATAACCTGAAAGGCCACTCAGCAAGGAAGAAGCCACTGCTCCAAAACTGCCATAAAAAAGCCAGACTACGGTTTACAACTGCACATGGGGACAAAGATCATACTTTTTGGAGAAATGTCCTCTGGTCTGATGAAACAAAAATAGAATGGTTTGGCCATAATGACCATCGTTATGTTTGGAGGAAAAAGGGGGGCGCTTGCAAGCCGAAGAACACCATCCCAACCGTGAAGCACAGGGGTGGCAGCATCATGCTGTGGGGGTGCTTTGCTGCAGGAGGGACTGGTGCACTTCACAAAATAGATGGCATCATGAGGAAGGAAAATTATGTGGATATATTGAAGCAACATCAAGACATCAGTCAGGAAGTTAAAGCTTGGTCGCAAATGGGTCTTCCAAATGGGCAATGACCCCAAGCATACTTCCAAAGTTGTGGCAAAATGGCTTAAGGACAACAAAGTCAAGGTATTGGAGTGGCCATCACAAAGCCTTGACCTCAATCCTATATAATATTTGTGGGCAGAACTGAAAAAGCGTGTGCGAGCAAGGAGGCCTACAAACCTGACACAGTTACACCAGCTATGTCAGGAGGAATGGGCCAAAATTCACCCAACTTATTGTGGGAAGCTTGTGGAAGGCTACCCGAAATGTTTGACCCAAGTTAAACAATTTTAAGGAAATGCTACCAAATACTAATTGAGTGTATGTAAACTTCTGACCCACTGGGAATGTGATGAAAGAAATAAAAGCTGAAATAAATAATTCTCTCTACTATTATTCTGACATTTCACATTCTTAAAATAAAGTGGTGATCCTAACTGACCTAAAACAGGGAATTTTTACTAGGATTAAATGTCAGGAATTGTGAAAAACTGAGTTTAAATGTATTTGGCTAAGGAGTATGTAAACTTCCAACTTCAACTGTACCTGATAACATTATTTTGCATGACCTGCATTTTCTTTTTCAGCTTTTTTGATAGCCCACTACACCAAGCAGAGCAGGCATAATCAAAATGACACAGAATCAAGGTTGAGACAAGCAGTTTATATAAACATATTTACATTTGTTCACCATTTTAGAAAGAATTTTAGCAGCGATCAGGTCTCCAGAAAGGGATTGATCTCGGGATACACCAAGATAAGTTTCACTTGTCTTAGATTCGATCTCCTTGCCTGCACAGTTTACCTTTATCTTGTCAGCCCTAAGCAAACTAAGTTTTGTTCCAAACGAAAGCGATTCAGTTTTTCCAAATGTAGCGACAATTTGTTGTCAGTCAACCAATCTCTAACAGAATACAATTCCTTACTCAGGGTCTCCTCTATGTAAACTGTATCCTTCCCAGATACCAGTAAGGCGGAATCATCAGCATAAAGCAGGAGTTTGCACTTTTTCTGTATCGGCGATATGTCATGGCAATTTCAATATTTCTATTGTGTTGTCTCTGTTTGGGGGGGGGGGGGGGGGGGGGGTATTAACTTCAAGACATACACTGAGTGTACAAAACATTAGGAACACCTGCTCTTTCCATGACAGACTGACCAGGTGAAGGCTATGATCCCTTATTGATGTCACTTGTTAAATCCACTTCAATCAGTGTAGATGAATGGAAGGAGACAGGTTAAATAAGGATTTTTAAGCCTTGAGACAATTCAGACATGGATTGTGTATGTGTGCCATTCAGAACGTGAATGGGCAAGACAAAAGTTTTAAGTGCCTTTGAACGGAATAAAGGTTGTAGGTGCCAGGCACACCGGTTTGTGTGTTTCAAGAACTGCATGCTGCTGGGTTTTTCCACATTCAACAGTTTCCTGTGTGTATCAAGAACGGGTGATGGACCAAAGGACATCCAGCCAACTTGACACAACAGTGGGAAGCAATGGAGTCAACATGTGCCAGCATCCCTGTGGAACGCTTGACACCTTGTAGAGTCCATGCCCCGATGAATTGAGGCTGTTCTGAGGGCAAAATGGGGTGCCACTCAATATTAGACTCAGTGTTGATACCATCTAAGGCTGCAAAATTTCCAGAGGGCACACACTGTTGACCTCAATTTGGTAAAGTTATGAGATGATAATCCAGTCCTACTTTTAGAAGTTCAATGCACATCTTATTTCACGTCACAACATAATAATAACATATTATGTTGCAAACCTAATACACTTCTCAACATAATATGTTCAACATGACATTAGAAGAAGAAAGGCTCATGCAAAGAAGAGTATTCATGAAAATATTGATTTGGGGTCTTTGGCAAAAGAGGTGTCACTATGCCCAATTAACATAGCAACAGGAGTTTGCTCCTATTATGTGCCTGCTGAGTCTGACGCACACAAACACTGTTTGTTTACAAGGCCTTGGTAACTTCAGATTTCTTGATACATGCCGTGACTTTTTGAACCTGTGGTGTATTATATATTATGCCTTCTGCAAGGATTTGTCAGAAATATTATTCACATTAGTCATGTCACAAACTAAAAAAACTTTAATTTGATGCAAAATATGATGTGTAGGCGTATAACTGTATATAGGCTATACTACTATAAAAAGGTGTATGGTTTATTTAAACTGAAAACATGACCTTATCTGTGCACTGTTCTCCTGGGTATAGAAGTGCGTCACAAACAAATATCCATAATCAAGCTCATCTCCGAGCTTCAGGGTGAGGGGATCATCATTGGATGATCCTCCTTTTATCATTCAGAACCCATCTCCTCATAAAGAGATTAATTCAAAAAGAAGCCAGTGAGAACTTGTTTTAAACTCAAAAGGGGCTGTTTCCCACACACAGATTAAGCCTAGTAATGGACTAAGAAGCACTTTTAATGGAGAATATCCATTGAACAAGCATTTTAGTCTAGGACTAGGCTTAATCTGTGTCTGGCAAACCAGCCCCAAATTCTGAAGTTCCAAATTCCATACAAAATATAGCACAACTTACTGTCCATGGTAGGCTATTTACTGAAGAAGCTCTGAAAATATAACTAACTTTCTAGACCATCAGATTACGTTTTGTTAATTCTAATAAAAATTATCAGATATTATAATCAAATATTAAACTGCCCATGTCTGTACTCTGTGCACTAGTAAAGACCACAACAGCAAAAATAATTCTGAAGGGCACTTGCTGAGATAAATTTGGACAGCGTAATGTGCTTCTTACGTAGGTTCATTTCTCTTACGTATATAAGGAGATCAATGCTCAAGGCGGAGCAATTCAATATCAATGAGAATACAAACACTGAAGAGCAAACAAAAGGAGGCAAAACTGCAGGGATTGGTCAATTGAGTTGAAATAGGAAACAACTTAGTGCGCTTGGGTTCGTAAAGCACTTCAGGACCATGGAGAGCTCTAAGCTGTGGACGAGAGCGGTAGTTTGCACAGCGCTGCTGTCCATCCTATGTGGTGCTGAAACGAGCGACTCAGAAATGGAAGTGGATTTGGAAACGAGAAACATTCACGACTTCTATCCAAGAAATCCGAATCTAACGAACGAAAAACGTCTTGTAAGTCTAGCTATATTGTCTGTAAACTGTATGCATGAATACTTAAGTCCGCGAGCAGCTTTTGGAATTTAGATTCCACTACCTCGAGAAATAGAGTAGGCTAAATTATGCTAAATACAAAATAAAAAGCACATTGTTCGAGAGACCATGAATGGTGTTTTAGATTTTTGGGTCAAAATATGAATATAAGCTCAAGGAATTGTAGTAATGCTACACAATGACAAGACATAACGGTCAGAGCTTGAAGTGATGTAATATTTTAATTGTGTATTTCCTACTGTTTCCACAGCTTGGAGCTCTACACGAAGTTCTCAAAAAGCTGCAGACCAAAAGAATTAATCCATGGGAAAAGAAATTTGGACAAGTTCCCACGGTAAGATTTTACCCTCTTTGTTCAGAGAATGTATTCATTTTGTATATGACGAATAATTACCAAATGCAGAATGACAAGATTGTTTTTATTTTATTATGGTCAAGTGTTCTTAATGTAAGTAGACTTATGCTATTGGAAGTTCCTAACATGTCATTGGATTATTTCATAAATGCGGGGTGTTTCGAAACGATTTACAGGATGATATTGTAACCTACACTATCCCCATTGTTTTAATTTAACAATGTGACATTAACCTTTTTCAGTGCGACGTGGGGGAGCATTGCGCGGTGAGGAAAGGCGCTCGAATCGGCAAAATGTGCGACTGTCCACGGGGAGCTTTCTGCAACTTCTTTCTGTTGAAGTGCTTGTGAATGTAGGTTGTGTGGATTCAACCCACTTTCATCGTGTTATTTAAAAGAGGGATAATAATGTAACATATGTCATTATTTTTATGAATATTTTTCAAATACAGGCTGACTATAATTGTCAATGTTATAGTGGGACCACAAATTAGATAATGGTACATGCTATCGTTTCCTGGAGTTTGAAGAAACGTGTCACCTAAGTGTTACTGAACTCTCCATATTGTGCATTAAAGTGTGTCACAACGTATTTCGTAATCAGTATTTTTGGTCTCTGAATTCTCCGTTTCTAGTTCTCACAATCCTGGACATTTCTCATGAAAACGCTAAATATATTTGTTAAATAGAAGGTAATTTATTAATAAATGCATCATGAAGGCTCTTGTAAAAAGGTAAGTTAGGATTAGTAAATGTGTGTATATGCTGTTCTCATGATACAAAGATCCTATTGAGCATTTCAATAACTGTACCTCAAAACCACTGGAACTTGAATTTCATGACACGTTTCCTTTCATGGTATAACAAAAACGTACGTTAGGAGGTAGGGAATTAGGGGAAGTAAGGTGTATTAAAACTAAGTCTTCAGCCTGGGTGCATGCTGGAGAACTAATTTTGTGAAAATTACTATAGTTCACAAACCTGGTTGGATCGAAAACTGTACTTCAATTACCTACTTTAATTAGTCATATTTTTCCATAAACTATATTACAAATTTAACTTGTTCCAAACAGTTCTTAATCTCCACATAAGTAGGAAAACAAAAAGATGTCTGAGGAAGACGTCATTTGATGAATTGGTCATGGACATGTTGTTCAATAACTCATCAAACTAGATCTCTAAAAGTTAATATGGGGCAAAGTGGTAGACGTTGTGCAGTCCGAAAGTCGCTAATCCCGAGCCGATAGAAAATCTTCGATGTGCCTAGCAAGGACTCTAATTCTCCTGTAATCCTCGGTAAGATCTGCTAAGACGTAAATTTAAATGTTAAGTAATGTAAATCGCATACCGCAGCAGTGAGTGTGTAATACTAGTACAGTGCATTCGGAAAGTATTCAGACCTCGCCATTTTTCACATTTTGTTACGTTAGCCTTATTCTAAAATTGATTAAATATATCTCTCTCATCAATCTACACACAATACCTCAATGACAAAGCGAAAACAGGTTTTTAGAAATTGGCAAATGTAATAAAAATAAAACGGAAATACCTCATTTACATAAGTATTCAGACCCTTTGCTATGAGACTTGAAATTGAGCTTAGGTGCATCCTGTTTCCATTTATCATCCTTGAGATGTTTCTACAACTTGATTGGAGTCCAAATGTGGTAAATTCAATTGATTGGACATGATTTGGAAAGGCACACCCTTGTCTATATAAGGTCCCACAGTTGACAGTGCATGTCAGAGCAAAAACCAAGCCATGAGGAATTGTCCGTAGAGCTCTGAGACAGGATTGTGTCGAGGCACAGATCGGGGAAGTGTACCAAAACATTTCTGCAGCATTGAAGGTCCCCAAGAACACAGTGGCCTCCATCATTCTTAAATGGAAGAAGTTTGGAACCACAAAGACTCTTCCTAGAGCTGGCAGCCCGGCCAAACTGAGCAATCGGGGGGAGAAGGGCCTTGGTCAGGGAGGTGACCAAGAACCCGATGGTCACTGACCGAGCTCCAGATTTCCTGTGGAGATGAGAGAACCATCTCTGCAGCACTCTACCAATCAGGCCTTTATGGTAGAGTGGCCAGACGGAAGCCACTCCTCAGTAAAAGGCACTTGACAGCCCGCTTGGAGTTTGCCAAAAGGCACCTAAAGGACTCAGACCATGAGAAACATGACTCTCTGGTCTGATGAAACCAAGATTGAATTATTTGGCCTGAATGCCAAGCGTCACGTCTGGAGGAAACCTGGCACCCTCCCTACGGTGAAGCATGTTGGTGGCAGCATCATGCTGTGGAGATGTTTTTCAGCGGCAGGCACTGGGAGACTAGTCAGGATCGAGGGAAAGATGAACAGAGCAAAGTACAGTGAGATCCTTGATGAAAACCTGCTCCAGAGTGCTCAGGACCTCAGACTGGGACGAAGGTTCACCTTCCAACAGTACAACTACCCTAAGCACATAGCCAAGACAACGGAGGAGTGACTTTGGGACAAGTCTCTGTATGTCCTTGAGTGGCCCAGCCAGAGCCCGGACTTGAACCTGATTGAACATCTCTGGAGAGACCTGAAAAAAGCTGTGCAGCGACATTCCCCATCCAACCTGACAGAGCTTGAGAGGATCTGCAGAGAATGCGAGAAACTCCCCAAAAACAGGTGTGCCAAGCTTGTAGCGTCATACCAAAGAGGACTCGAGACTATAATCACTGCCAAAGGTACTTTAAAGTACTGAGTAAACGGTCTGAATACTTATGGAAATGTAATATTTTTGGGTTTTATTTGTGATAAATTTGCAAAGATTTCTAAAACCTGGTTTTTGCTTTGTCATTATGGGGTATTGTGCGTAGATTGAAGAAGGAAAAAACAATTTAATCCACTTTAGAATAAGGCTGTAATGTAACAAAATGTGGGAAAAGTTGAGGGGTCTGAATACTTTCCGAATGCACTGTACGTATAAGGAACCAAACTTTATTGCAAAGCCTGAAATTACAGTTAAATTGGGTCAAGGACATGAATGATGACCAAGTGCTTATCCAATTAAAATTTCCATCAACCTAGCATACCCAGGGGCCTCCCGAGTGGCACAGTGGTCTAAGGCACTGCATCGCAGTGTTAGCTGTGCCACTAGAGATCCTGGTTCGAGTCCAGGCTCTGTCGCAGCCGGCCGCGACCGTGAGACCCATGGGGCGGCGCACAAATGGCCCAGCGTCGTCCAGGTTAGGAGGTTTGGCAGTCAGGGATGTTCTTGTCCCATCGCGCACTAGCGACTCCTGTGGCAGGCCGGGCGCAGTGCACACTGACACGGTCGCCAGGTGTACAGCGTTTCCTCCAACACATTGATGCAGCTGGCTTCCGGGTTAAGCGGGCATTGTGTCAAGAAGCAGTGCGGCTCGGTTGGGTTGTGTTTCGGAGGACGCACGGCTCTCAACCATCGTGTCCATACGGGAGTTGCAGCGATGGGACAAGACTAACTACCAATTGGATACCACGAAATTGGGGAGAAAAAGGGGTACAAAAAATAAGAATACAAAAATAGAGAACATAATTAAAAAGACAAAAATAAAAAAATGGCATACACAATTAAGAATCACTCATGCATAACTAAACAGCAAGACAACTAGGAGACTCATTGCTTTTTTTGTACCTTTTTTATTTATTAAAGAGATATATTACAAATGCCTAGACTCCTCTTGGTGTCTTGAAGTTCATTCCGACAGTTGGCTGGGTGACCTGCAGGTTGGACAGACTGCCGAAGTCCTGGAGGAAAGGGGAAAATTAAATTAAATTCCACCATCAAGTAACCACCAGAATACACCACAGGTTCATGATAACGATGTAAATCACAGAAGCCTGGTCTCATAGCCGTGAGTACAGTTTCACCCTGAAGTTAAGATTGTGGAGGATGTGGAATATGTTTGAAAGATACAGGGTTTGACAGGAAGCGATATTCCAACAAACACGGGAAAATCTTTCAACGTCACTGTTCCTGTACTATCAATGACTATGGCAACAGTCATGTCATAGTCACTTTCGATACAGGGTTTAAGCCAAGCTGTTATCTTAAGGCTAAACATACACATATACAGCTGGGGTAAAAAGTCAGTAAAATTATCAGTTTCTCTGGTTTTACTATTTATAGGTATGTGTTTGGGTAAAAATATTTTTGTTTGTTTTATTCTATAAACTACTGACAACATTTCTCCCAAATTCCAAAGGAAAATAGTCATTTAGAGCATTTATTTGCAGAAAATGACAACTGGTCAAAATAACAAAAAAGATGCAGTGTTGTCAGACCTCGAATAATGCAAAGAAAATAAGTTCATGTTCATTTTTAAACAACACAATAGTAATGTTTTAACTTAGGAAGAGTTCAGAAATCAATATTTGGTGGAATAACCCCTGATATTTCAATCACAGCTTTCATGCATCTTGGCATGCTCTCCACCAGTCTTTCAAATTGATGTTGGGTGACTTTATGCCACTCCTGGTGCAAAAATTCAAGCAGCTCAGCTTTGTTTGATGGCTTGTGACCATCCATCTTCCCCTTGATCACATTCCAGAAGTTTTCAATGGGGTTCAGGTCTGGAGATTGGGCCGGCCATGACAGGGTCTTGATCTGGTGGTCCTCCATCCACACCTTGATTGTCCTGGCTGTGTGGCATGGCGCATTGTCCTGCTAGAAAAATGAATCCTCAGAGTTGGGGAACAATGTCAGAGCAAAAGGAAGCAAGTTTCCTTCCAGGACAACCTTGTACGTGGCTTGATTCATGCGTCCTTCACAAAGACAAATCTGCCCCATTCCAGCCTTGCTGAAGCACCCCCAGATCATCACCGATCCTCCACCAAATTTCACAGTGGGTGCGAGACACTGTGGCTTGTAGGCCTCTCCAGGTCTCCGTCTAACCATTAGACGACCAGGTGTTGTGCAAAGCTGAAAATTGGACTCATCAGAGAAGATGACCTTACTCCAGTCCTCTACGGTCCAATCCTTATGGTCTTTCGGAAACCTCAGCCTGGCTCTTCTTTGCTTCTCATTGATGAAGGGCTTTTTTCTAGCTTTGCACGACTTCAGCCCTGCCCCTAGGAGCCCGTTTCGAACAGTCCTCGCCGTGCACTTCACCCCAGCTGCCGTTTGCCATTCTTTTTTTAGGTCACTTGATGTCACCCTACGGTTGTTGAGTGACATTCGAATGGGTTGGCGGTCATCCCTGTCAGTAGAGTCGTTTTCACCCTCTGCCGGTCTGTAGCTTTGTCTCCAATGTCTGCTGCTTGACCTAGTTCTTATGAACCGCCGTCTTCGAAATTGTAAGGATAGTAGCAACCTGACGCTCACTGTATCCCTCTGCCACGGTATCCCTCTGCCAGTAAAGCCAGCATTGAACCCTTCTTTTCCTCACTCAAAACTTTCCTTTTCAACTCTTTTGGCATGGTCAATAGTTATTTTTTGATTAATATTACTTTTGAGGTACTATTAGCACTGTTTTTGCCATCCAGCTGGTACTATTGCAAGAGGATAGTGATGACCACAGCAGTGGTTTTTATACTTTTCCTCGTTAAATAAGATTTGGTTCATGTGATCACCTAATCAGAACCTAATTCAGTAGAATGAAGTGTGCCTGTGTTGAAATTCAACAGACACTGGAATGGCTGTCATACATGTAGAGATGCTGATTTAAGAAATTTGCAGTGGTCTCTTAATTTTTTTCCACAGCTGTATACACACACAACCATTCTAAAGTTTGGGGTCACTTAGAAATGTCCTTGTTTTTGAAAGAAAGTAAAACATTTTGGTCCATTAAAATAACATCAAATTGATCAGAAATACAGTGTAGACATTGTTAATGTTGTAAATGGCTATTTTAGCTGGAACGGCTGATTTTTAATGGACTATCTACATATGCACAGAGGCCCATTATCAGCAACCATCAGTCCTGTGTTCCAATGGCACGTTGTGTTTGCTAATCCAAGTTTATCATTTTAAAAAGGCTAATTGAGCATTAGAAAACCCTTTTGCAATTATGTTAGCACAGCTGAAAACTGTTGTGCTGATTTAAAGAAGCAATAAAACTGGCCTTCTTGAGAATAGTTGAGTATCTGGAGCATCAGCAATTGTGGGTTCAATTACAGGATCAAAATTGCCAGAAACAAAGAACTTTCTTCTGAAACTAGTCAGTCTATTCTTGTTCTGAGAAATTAAGGATATTCCATGCGAGAAATTGCCAAGAAACTGAAGATCTCGTACAACGCTGTGTACTACTCCCTTCACAGAACAGCGCAAACTGGCTCCAACCAGAATAGAAAGAGGAGTGGGAGGCCCCGGTGCACAACTGAGCAAGACGACAAATACATTAGGTGTCTAGTTTGAGAAACAGACGCGTCACAGGTCCTCAACTGGCAGCTTCATTAAATAGTACCCGCAAAACACCATTCTCAACGTCAACAGTGAAGAGGCGACACCGGGATGCTGACCTTGATGTTATTTTAATGGACAAAAAAATTACTTTTCTTTCGAGAGCAAGGACATTTCAAAGCGACCCCAAACTTTTGAACGTGTGGGTGTATGTATATACACACACAGTATCTCACAAAAGTGAGTACACCCCTCACATTTATGTAAATATTTGAGTATATCTTTTCATGTGACAACACTGAAGAAATGACACTTTGCTACAATGTAAAGTAGTGAGTGTACAGCTTGTATAACAGTGTAAATTTGCTGTCCCCTCAAAATAACACAACACACAGCCATTAATGTCTAAACCGCTGGCAACAAGAGTGAGTACACCCCTAAGTGAAAATGTCCAAATTGGGCCCAATTAGCCATTTTCCCTCCCCGGTGTCATGTGACTCGTTAGTGTTACAAGGTCTCAGGTTTGAATGGGGAGCAGGTGTGTTAAATTTGGTGTCATCACTCTCACACTCCCTCATACTGGTCACTGGAAGTTCAACATGGCACCTCATGGCACAGAACTCTCTGAGGATCTGAAAAAAAGAATTGTTGCTCTACATAAAGATGGCCTGGGCTATAAGAAGATTGCCAAGACCCTGGAGCTGCAGCACGGTGGCCAAGACCATACAGCGGTTTAACAGGACAGGTTCCACTCAGAACAGGCTTCGTCATGGTCGACCAAAGAAGTTGAGTGCACGTGCTCAGCGTCATATCCAGAGGTTGTCTTTGGGAAATAGACGTATGAGTCCTGGCAGCATTGCTGCAGTGGTTGAAGGGGTGGGGGGGGGGGGGGGGGGGGGGGTCAGCCTGTCAGTGCTCAGACCATACGCCGCACACTGCATCAAATTGGTCATGGCTGTCGTCCCAGAAGGAAGCCTCTTCTAAAGATGATGCACAAGAAAGCCCGCAAACAGTTTGCTGAAGACAGTTCATTGAGGGAACCATGAATGCCAATGTACTGTGACATACTGAAGCAGAGCATGATCCCCTCCCTTCAGAGATTGGGCCGCAGGGCAGTATTCCAACATGATAACGACCCCAAACACACCTCCAAGACGAAGAAGCTGAGGGTAAAGGTGATGGACTGGCCAAGCATGTCTCCAGACCTAAACCCTATTGAGCATCTGTGGGGCATCCTCAAACGGAAGGTGGAGGAGTGCAAGGTCTCTAACATCCACCAGCTCCGTGATGTCGTCATGGAGGAGTGGAAGAGGACTCCAGTGGCAACCTGTGAAGCTCTGGTAAACTCCATGCCCAAGAGGGTTAAGGCAGTGCTGGAAAGTGATGGTGGCCACACAAAATAGACACTTTGGGCCATATTTTGGACATTTTCACTTAGGGGTGTACTCACTTTTGTTGCCAGCGGTTTAGACATTAATGGCTGTGTGTTGTGTTATTTTGATGGCTGTGTGTTGTGTTATTTTGAGGGGACAGCAAATTTACACTGTTATACAAGCTGTACACTCATTACTTGACATTGTAGCAAAGTGTCATTTCTTCAGTGTTGTCACATGAAAAGATATACTGAAATATTTACATAAATGTGAGGGGTGTACTCACTTTAGTGAGATACTGTATATACACACACAAACTCAGCAAAAAAAATAGGACCTTGTCTTTCAAAAATAATTCGTACAAATCCAAATAACCTCACAGATCTTCATTGTAAAGGGTTTAAACACCGTTTCCCATGCTTGTTCAATGAACCATAAACAATTAATGAACATGCACCTGTGGAACGGTCGTTAAAATACGGTAGGCAATTAAGGTCACAGTTATGAAAACTTAGGACACTAGAGGCCTATCTACTGACAAGAGGCATGCAGATGTGGCCAGGGCAATAAATTGCAATGTCCGTACTGGAGACGCCTAAGACAGCGCTACAGGGAGACAGGACGGACAGCTGATCGTCCTCGCAGTGGCAGACCACGTGTAACAACACCGGCACAGGATCGGTACATCCAAACATCACACCTGCGGGACAGGTACAGGATGGCAACAACAACTGCCCGAGTTACACCAGGAACGCACAATCCCTCCATCAGTGCTCAGACTGTCCGCAATAGGCCTCACCAGACATCACCGGCAACAACGTCGCCTATGGGCACAAACCCACCGTCGCTGGACCAGACAGGACTGACAAAAAGTGCTCTTCAATCCCATTGAGCACGTCTGGGACCGGTTGGATCGGAGGGTGAGGGCTAGGGCCATTCCCCCCAGAAATGTCAGGGAACTTGCAGATGCCTTGGTGGAAGAGTGGGGTAACATCTCACAGCAATAACTGGCAAATCTGGTGCAGTCCATGAGCAGGAGATGCACTGCAGTACTTAATGCAGCTGGGGGCCACACCAGATACTGAATGTTACTTTCGATTTTGACCCCCCCTATGTTCAGGGACACATCATTCCATTTCTGTTGGTCACATGTCTGTGGAACTTGTTCAGTTTATGTATCAGTTGTTGAATCTTATGTTCATTCAAATATTTACACGTTAAGTTTGCTGAAAATAAACGCAGTTGAGAGTGAGAGGACGTTTATTTTTTTGATGAGTTTATATACATATATACATACATTTATATATACACACAAACAAACATTTGTGGATACCATTTCAAAATAGTTGATTTGGCTATTTCAGCCACACCCATTGCTGACTGGTGTATAAAATCGAGTACACCGCCATGCAATCTCCATAGACAAACATTGGCAGTAGAATGGCCTTACTGAAGAGCTGTGACTTTCAACGTGGCACCATCATAGGATGCCACCTCTCCAGCAAGTCAGTTTGTCAAATGTCTGCCCTGCTAGAGCTGCCCCAGTCAACTAAGTGCTGTTATTGTGAAGTGGAAACGTCTAGGAGCAACAATGGCTCAGCCGCTAAGTGGTTGGCCACACAAGCTCACAGAACAGGCCTGCCGAGAGCCGAAGCACGTCCATTTTCTTTGGGTCTGTCCTCGGTTGCAACACTCACAACATAGTTCCAAACTGCCTCTGGAAGCAACGTCAGCACAAGAACTGTTCGTCGGGAGCTTCATGAAATGGGTTTCCATGGCCGAGCAGTCGCACACAAGTATAAGATCACCATGCGTAATGCCAAGTGTCGGCTAGAGTGGTGTAAAGCTTGCCGCCATTGGACTCTGGAAACGCCTTCTCTGGAGTGATGAATCACGCTTCACCCTCTGGTAGTCCGACAGACAAATCTGCGTTTGGCAGATGCCAGGAGAACGCTAACTGCCCGAATGCATAGTGCCAACTGTAAGGTTTGGTGGGGGAGGAATAATGGTCTAGTGCTGTTTTTCATGGTTTGTGCTAGGCCCCTTAGTTCCAGTGAAGATAAATCTTAAAGCTACAGCAAACAATGACATTCTAGACGATTCTGTGCTTCCAACTTTGTGGCAACAGTTTGGGGAAGGCCCCTTCCTGTTTCAGCATGACAATGCCTCCGTGCACAAAGCGAGTTCCATACACAAAATGGTTTGTCGACATTGGTGTGGATGAACTTGACTGCACAGATCTCAACCAACTCCATATTAATGCCCATGATTTTGGATTGAGATCTTCGACGAGCAGGTGTCCACATACTTTGGATCAGGTAGTGTATATTCTTCATTAAGACACCAAATTGTAGCTGCCTGTGAGAGACTTACCAGTAGCTTGAGCATCTCCTTGGTGTCGGGGTCCACCTCTATGATCTCCTGGTCGAGAGCAGAAACCTGGAAACAGAGAAAAGTGAAGTTATTGTGCTAATGCATCATGTCAACACTGTCCAAACACATTAGTAATAGTGTGCATAGTAAACAGACAACACTGACAGTTAAATACAACTCAACAGAGCGTACAGCATTTACTGGCTGCCTGGGGCAAGGTTTAAGCTGTTAACACATTGTTTGAAAGATACAGGGTTTGACAGGAACCAGTATTCCAACAAACACGGGAAAAGCTTTCAAGACCACTATTCCTGTACTATCAATGACTATGGCAACAGTCATGCCATAGTCACTTTCGATACAGGGCAAATCAAAGAATGAGAATTTGACTGACAAAAAGGTATTTCACATCCCATCTCAACCACACACTGAAGATAACCAATGGCAGCAAAGAAAGGAGATAATTGATGACCAAAAGCAGTTTATGAATGCATCTTTACGTGCCTAGGCAAAGTAGAAACATGCATAGCTATAATCATAACTGTTCGAGAGGTAGGGACACAGCAATACAACTCCCTACTGGACAGCAAATCAAACATGCATACATCAGCAAGGCATGCCTATAGAGTCCATTCATTTGAGAAGGACACCACCCAGCTATACATCACAAGCATCAAGAAAGAATTTGGTTAGTCCATTGCCATCAAGAAACATATGCCACTGATTAACCAAACCAACTTATAGCTCAGTTAATGCATACATTTTATGTGATGCCTGTGGGAATTGAACCCATGACCTTTGCGTTGCCAGCAAGTATAGATGCACTGTGCTCTGATGCTCAGAAGTGTGGGTGGGTTGGTGACACTTACCTCTGGGACGTAGTTGTCCCTCCTCTCCCTCTCCTCCTCTTGCAGCTTGATGGAGATGCCTCTGACCGGACCCCTCTGGATGCGCTTCATCAGATGGGTCACATACCTAAGAGCACAATCCATTCACATACATCACAATTGTCACAGCAATTAGATCACACCATGGATTCAAGCTAAAATATTTATGCTAGATCACTGAAAACTCATCTAACATGAGAATGAGGTTTCACTCAAGTTTAGGTTGTTGGGGACGAGGAAGATGTTTGACAGGAAAAGGTATTCCAACAAACACAGGAAAAGCTTTCAAAGTCACAATTCCTGTACCATCAATGACTACGGCAACAGTTGTGCCAGTCACTTTTGATACAGGGTTTTAGGTGGCAAACTATCAATAATCAGCTAGGTCAGGGATATGATAGAATGAATAACTCCCTCCAAGGACGCAGAGACAAAAATGGTATCCACAAGTTCATCTGACTCTTGGAAGTAGAACTACCCTTTTTGCTCATTCAATCCATAGGAAACACCTGCCAAAAAACACTGCCTAAACATGAGTCTATCAGCACAACAAACTGAAAGGAGAAGAGCACTAAAACAATTTGATGTCATGTTTAGCAACGCAGGACAATGTCGGTGTCTTCAGATGACAGAATGGGATATACATCGTGTCCATAGGGACAGTGCTGCCGCCCATAGCATCCATAGAGATCCCCGCAAAATGGGGACACCCCTAAACAATCCATCTAATTACAGAACCACCTTCAACATCTTCATATACTCAGTTGTCCCATTATCCCAATTGTCACAGATTGAACGACTGCTCGTTTTTAACTGCCCTTTTCTTCCTCATGCTAGGTAGCAGCAGCAACCATTATGGAATGGTGCATCGCGTTGGACAACAAAAGAGCCGTGGCTTCTGGTGTGGCTTCTGCTACCTAGCATGAGGACGACAGTTTTCCAGAAAAACTAGCTGTCATTCCATCTTCTCTGTATAACAGTTGGGACAATTCAGAGTACAACGCATTTCTCATCCCTGGATTGAGGTACGTTTTCCGAGCCATATCTTGTGCCGGCTCCGTGGTGACTTAATTTAAGCCAACGGCCTGTCCGACCCTGTAGTGTAGCTGTAAGCAAGCGTAGTGTCTGATCTGCTGGCTACACCTGAAACTGGAGTAAAGACAACGGTGCCTTCCAAATTGAGAATGAAGAAAATATAGCCACGGTTGGTTGAACGTTGCTGTACTGCGTCGTCTATGGACCATCTGCTGCTCGAACTCAGACACAAGCTTTAGATATGTCGCTGAGGTTAGAGTCCGCTTTACTATTAGAGACAATAAGGATAAAGAAACCAGACTCACCCAGCGATCTTGTTGCGCAGCTTCTTGCTGGGGATGATGGCAATCTCCTCGCACACCCTCTTGTTGGTGTGGAAGTCATTTCCCAGCCGGGTGTAGTACTTCTCAATGATGACCCGGGCGGCCTTTTTCACCGTCTTAGTCCTGACTCGTCCCTGTGGAACAAAGGCGTTGTGCAAATGACTAGGTTATCCTCGTCTCCTGAATGATCAGAATGGGCCTACATTTTCTGAATTTAAAATGTCTGAGAGAACCAGGGTTCGAGAGGGACGAAGGACCCATCGAACACGGGAAAGTCTCTCAATTCACTTTTCCTGTACTATCAATGACCTGGCCACTTCAATCAATGCCATAGCCACTTTCGATACAGGGTTCAATGTAAATGACATTTCAAAAGCTGTTGACATTTTAGGAGGTATCAGCATGCCCACGGCTGGCATGCCCATGCAACCTACATTTGGATCTACTGACTTATAAGGTCGTACCTACTACTAACGAGCTAGGAACTTTGAGCAGACTGGCTACCTAGCCATCTACCTACATGGCTAGTAAATAGATCTCACGACTAACTACACCGGTGAGTAAGTCAGTAACAATGGGTACCCTACATTGGGAAAACAGACCACCTGTGGTTAACTAGCTAGTATGATTTCGCAATCAGCTAGTTAACTATGCTAATCAGTATCCCGAACAAAATTGATTTCCTACATACATCTGAAACCAAGGTGCAATACCACTAACCACACTGCGGATAATGAGTGTCCAATATTAAAGGCACGGCCAGTTCTCTACTGATTGTAATCAAATCAAGACATGGCCCCCTGTAGCTCAGTTGGTAGAGCATGGCGCTTGCAACGCCAGGGTTGTGGGTTCGTTTCCCACGGGGGGCCAGTATGAAAATGTATGCACTCACTAACTGTAAATCGCTCTGGATAAGAGCGTCTGCTAAATGACTAAAATGTAAAATGAAAACGTGGTTGTTCATGTGCAGCCAAATGCTAGCATACTGCTTCTTCCGTTAGCATCTCGGAGAACACTCCTCATATTGTTCATAAAATCAGCCAGGAAGGGCATCCTAACGCAATATGTCATTGCGATTGAGTAATACATCCAACATTTCACTATTCTAGACATAAATACCATTATGGCTGGTAAAAAAGAGAGGATTACGATAGATTTAGAGGGGTTGTAAATGTTCAAGTACCCACCATGTTGAATCGGGCTGGTAGAAGAGGACTATACAAGCGTTTCAGCGGAAGTATAATATGAGGGCACGCGGATGTGGGAAATCAAGGGTCAAAGGGTGCCGCCCCCTTGTGGTAGAGGATTGGTTTAAAAAATATATATAATCAAACTTGCAGTTCATTACAGATATAGTACTGTACATTTGGTTTCCCCTGTTGAGTGAAAATATTGCACATACGTGCGGCAGTTTGCCTAGCGGTTCAGAGCTAGGGCCAGTAACCGAAAGGTCGCTGGTTCTATCCCCCAGCTAACTAGGTGAAGAATCTGTCGATGTGCCCTTCAGCCTGCCACTTAACCCTAATTGGTCCAGGGTCGCTGTCAATAATGAATGATCCCTGGCCATAACCCCACTCTCAGGGGGAGTGGCATATGCAAAACACGTCCAATAAACACATGTAGCCTACGTGTGAAATAAGACAACTTTAAGCACCTAATTACTATCTATACTGAATAAAAACATAAATGCAACATTTCAAGTGTTGGTCCCATTTTTCATGAGCTGAAATAAAATATCCCAGAAATGTTCCATATGCACAATCAATCAATCAGTCAAATGTATTTATATAGCCCTTTTTACATCAGCAGATGTCACAAAGTGCTAAACTGAAACCCAGCCTAAAACCCCAAACAGCAAGCAATGCAGATGTAGAAGCACGGTGGCTCGGAAAAACTCCATAGAAAGGCAGAAACCTAGAGAGGAACCAGGCTCTGAGGGGTGCTCTCACCACTGGTGTCCCCCAGGGCTCAGTTCTAGGCCCTCTCCTATTCATCCTATACACCAAGTCACTTGGCTCTGTCATATCCTCACATGGCCTCTCCTATCATTGCTACGCAGACGACACACAACTAATCTTCTCCTTTCCCCCTTCTGATAACCAGGTGGCGAATCGCATCTCTGCATGTCTGGCAGACATATCAGTGTGGATGACGGATCACCACCTCAAGCTGAACCTTGGCAAGACGGAGCTGCTCTTCCTCCCGGGGAAGGACTGCCCGTTCCATGATCTCGCCATCACGGTTGACAACTCCGTTGTGTCCTCCTCCCAGAGTGCGAAGAGCCTTGGCGTGACCCTGGACAACACCCTGTCGTTCTCCGCTAACATCAAGGCGGTGACCCGATCCTGTAGGTTCATGCTCTACAACATTCGGAGTACGACCCTGCCTTACACAGGAAGCGGCACAGGTCCTAATCCAGGCACTTGTCATCTCCCGTCTGGATTACTGCAACTCGCTGTTGGCTGGGCTCCCTGCCTGTGCCATTAAACCCCTACAACTTATCCAAAACGCTGCAGCCCGTCTGGTGTTCAACCTTCCCAAGTTCTCTCACGTCACCCCGCTCCTCCGCACACTCCACTGGCTTCCAGTTGAAGCTTGCATCTGCTACAAGACCATGGTGCTTGCCTACGGAGCTGTGAGGGGAACGGCACCTCCGTACCTTCAGGCTCTGATCAGTCCCTACACCCAAACGAGGGCATTGCGTTCATCCACCTCTGGCCTGCTGGCCCCCCTACCTCTGCGGAAGCACAGTTCCCGCTCAGCCCAGTCAAAACTGTTCGCTGCTCTGGCACCCCAATGGTGGAACAAGCTCCCTCACGACGCCAGGACAGCGGAGTCACTCACCACCTTCCGGAGACACTTGAAACCCCACCTCTTTAAGGAATACCTGGGATAGGATAAAGTAATCCTTCTAACCCCACCCCCCCAAATTTTTTTTAAAATAAATAATAATAACATTGTAAAGTGGTTATCCCACTGGCTATAAGGTGAATGCACCAATTTGTAAGTCGCTCTGGATAAGAGCGTCTGCTAAATGACGTAAATGTAAATGTAAATGGATGGCCAGTCCCCTTCTGGCTGTGCCGGTTGGAGATTATAACAGTACATGGCCATTAAGGCCAGATTTTTCTCCAAGATGTTCAAACGTTCATAGATGACCAGCAGGGTCAAATAATAATCACAGTGGTTGTAGAGGTTGCAACAGGTCAGTACATCAGGAGTAAATGTCACTTGGCTTTTCATAGCCGGGCATTTAGAGGTTGAAATAGCAGGTGCGGTAGAGAGAGAGAGCCCTCCTACATTTATTATGTTCAATGTAGGAGGGCCAAGCACAGGAAGTAGCTCTTTCAGTAGTTTACTTGGAATAGGGTCCAGTATGCAGCTTGAAGGTTTAGAGAACGTAACTATTTTCATCAATGTGTCAAGAGATATAGGATTTAAAAACTTGAGTGTCTTCATTGATCCTTGGTCCTGGCAGTTTTGTGCAGACTCAGGACAGCTGAGCTTTGGAGAAATACACAGATTCAAAGAGGAGTCCGTCATTTTCTTTTTAATGATCATGATATTTTCGTTGAAGAATTCATCACTGCTGAAGTAAACAGGCACAAAAAGCTAATTTCTCTCAAATTTTGTGCACAAATTTGTTTATATCCCTGTTAGTGAGCATTTCTCATTTTCCAAGATAATCCATCCACCTGACAGGTGTGGCATATCAAGAAGCTGATTAAACAGCATGATCATTACACAGGTGCACCTTGTGCTGGGGACAATAAAAGGCCACTCTAAAATGTGCAGTTTTGACACACAACACAATGCAACAGATGTCTCAAGTTTTGAGGGAGTGTGCAATTGGCAAGATGACTGCAGGAATGTCCAACAGAGCTGTTGCCAGAGAATTTAATGTTCATTTCTCTACCATAAGCCGCCTCCAATGTCATAAGCCGCCTCCAATGTCATTTTAGAGAATCTGGCAGCAGTACATCCAAATGGCCACACAACCGCAGACCACGTGTAGCCACGCCAGCCCAGGACCTCCACATTCACCTGATCATCTGAGGATGTGGAGGGGGGGTGATCAGGAGTATTTCTGTCTGTAATAAAGCCCTTTTGTGGGGAAAAACTCATTCTGATTGGCTGGGCCTGGCTCCCCAGTGGGTGGACCTGGCTCTCAAGTGGGTGGGCCTGCCCAGTCTTGTGAAATCCATAGATTACGGCCTAAATAATTTATTTCAATTGGCTGATTTCCTTCTATGAACTGTAACTCAGTAAAATCTTTGAAATTGTTTCATGTTACATTGACAGTCTGAGTAATAACATGAGAATCCAATTCATCATTATATATTAGTGAAATACCCGGGATATGCAGTATTCCAATGTTCATATTCTCAGTCAACTTTTTACACCTCCAGTTCATTAACATGTTTTGGGGAATATGCTTAAAAAGGGTTGCACATTTACACAATGCAAATCAAATCAAAGTTTATTGGTGGCATAGTTACACAGTTTAGCAGATGTTATAGAACCCAACAGTGGAGGTGTCATAATACCCATAAAACCTAGTGGTCAATCAGGGAAATACTTCCAATCTTTTTTACACCATTCATTTTTCCCATAAGGGATTTTAGAAACACTTCAAATAAGGGCTGTGTTTTGTATAGGCTTACCCTGGCGTGACGTTTTGATAACAATGTAAATATCTCTCGGACAAGGTGCCTTTTATTCATATATTCGGCTCTATTTATTCTCATATTCGAAAAAGCTAATTAGCATCAAAATAGACATGCACGACTACAAATACCTGCTAGCTCCTGCACATAATCTCTAGCTGAAACCTTTGCTAAACAGGTATTGTCAATTAAAAATTTGCACAAGACAGTTCACAGAATTGTAGATTTAAATAAATGTTGCCAATTTATTCATTCCTACATTTAGCTAATATTAGATAGTTAATCCAGAGATTCTTACATTTGCCTTCATTTGGCAGTCTCGACCAGATCACCATAGTATTTGTAGTTCTTTATGATAGCCACATTAGCAGCTAATTAGCATATTTTTTTTTGCGGGTAAATACAGGCAAATATATTGATAAAAGTCACCTTGTCCTGCCTCCCGAGTGGCGCAGCGGTATAAGGCA